GAACCAAAATAGAAATAAAGCCTTTTCCTTGTTGCTTGCATGGCACCTGCAGCAAACCACAATGAAGTCAAAGTAATAGCATGTACATATGCACATTGTTATGTAAATAGGTTTGTTTGGCGGGAAGTTCGAATTAACTGACCTTCAGCTGATTGGCTGACCACTACAGCTGCAAGGTATATAAAGGGAGCTGGCTCCCTGGGTTAGTTGCTGGATTCTCACTATACAATAAAGAGCTGTTGTCACTCACTACTCTGGCTTGCTGCGTCCTCATTCACCCCACTTAACATTGGCGACGAAGGTGGGATTTTGAGGCCAGAAGCAGAGAACAGCTAGGGGAAAGGCTGAGGGAGGTCCTAAGGAAATTCAGGGGCGTGGGACTCAGAGTAAAAAGAAACAAATGCATGATCGCAGTCCCCTCAGTCGAATTCCTAGGATACAGGGTAGATGGCACCGGCATACACCCCACAGAGAGCAAGATCAGGGCAATCAAAGAAGCACCCACCCCCAAAGACAAGGCAGAATTACAGGCCTTCCTGGGACTATTAAACTTTTACGCCATCTTCCTTAAGGACAAGGCAACAGTGGCAGAACCCTTACATAGACTGTTAGCTACAAAAGCGATTTGGAAATGGGGGAAGGCCGAAGACAGGGCATTCGCCGGCATTAAAAAATTACTATCAGCTGAGAGTTTTCTAATCCAGTACAACGCAACGCTTCCCCTTGTTCTAGCATGTGACGCGTCTCCGTTCGGGGTGGGAGCTGTCCTGAGCCATAGACTCCCGAATGGCCTAGAGGCACCCATCGCATACTACTCCCGAACTCTGTCAAGCGCCAAGAGAAATTATAGTCAGCTCGACAAGGAGGCCCTCGCCGCCGTTTTGGGAGTAAAGAAGTTCCACGAGTATTTGTTCGGGAGAGACTTTGACCTAATCATCGACCATCGACCGCTCCTGGGCCTCCTCGCGGGAGATCGGCCAACACCGGCAGCACTATCACCCAGGATGACACGCTGGGCCATCTTCCTCGCAGCATACTCCTATCGCCTGGTACACCGACCAGGGGCGGACATGGGCAACGCGGATGCACCTAGCCGATGCCCACTACCCGACAACCTAGAAGACCCCACACCCGGCATCCCCATCTTGCTGATAGATGTATTGGACTCGGGGCCCATAACATCAGCAGAGGTTGCGAGAGCCTCAACCAAAGACCACGTGATCCGGACAGTCGCAAGTTGGGTCATGAGGGGGTGGCCGGAAAGGATTGGGAGCAGGGAGTTTAAACAGTTCGCGGGAAAACGGGATGAATTAACAATGCAAGGGGGTTGCTTACTATGGGGTGATCGGGTTGTTATTCCTTTGTGCCTACGGGAAAAAGTTTTAACATTGTTGCATGAGGGGCACCCTGGGATTGTAAGAATGAAGGGGCTAGCCAGGAGCTACGTCTGGTGGCCCAGCATGGATACAGACATTACCGAGTGGGTGGGGAGATGCCAGCCCTGCCAAGAGTCCAGACCAGATCCACCAACGGCACCCGTGAGGGAGTGGGAAAGACCCCAGGGACCCTGGTCCAGAATACACATTGACTTTGCTGGCCCATTTCATGGACAGACCTTCATGGTTGTTGTAGATGCGTTTTCCAAATGGTTGGAGATTAAGCTAATGAAGGCCACTACCACCGACACAACCATCAGGGAACTCAGACAGTTATTCGCCACCCATGGGTTACCGGACATCCTAGTGTCCTAGTGTCAGATAACGGGCCACAATTCACCGCGACACAATTCGAGGGGTACTTAGCGGGGCTAGGGATCAGACATGTCCTTTCGGCCCCGTTTCATCCGGCTAGTAACGGTCAGGCTGAGAGATTTGTGAGGTCAGCAAAGGAGGCCCTTTCACGTTTAAGCCCCGGAGACTGGCAGGAAAGGGTAGACAAATTCCTAATAGCACAGCACTCCACACCCTGTACAGCCACAGGCCGAAGCCCGGCAAAGCTATTAATGGGGCGGAAACTCCGAGGAGTACTAGACAGGCTTAACCCCAACTACTCCCCAGAATCTTTCAAGGGGGGGGAGAGGAAGCTTAGAGAGTTCACCATAGGAACGCCGGTCCACGCCAGAAACTACGGACAGGGCCCACTCTGGGAGGCAGGGACCATTGCAGAAATCACGGGGCTCAAATCATACAGGGTAGACATGGGGGACGGGAGAGTTTGGCGCAGACACATCGACCAACTGAGAAAACGAGTAACCGCAGATACCGAAGACAGATTCGACGAACCAACCCCTGACCATGACTACCAACCAGAAACACAAACTACAAGCCCGGGTAGAGTGGAGGACTTAGCTGAGGATTCTGGTATCCAGCGCCGCCCCATCGAGGTAGTTCAGGCTGCCGGAGAAGTCGCCGCCCACAAGGAAGTTCCAGAGGCCTCATTGGCGGAGCAGGGAGAAACAGAGGGTCCCTCCAACCTGCTCGACGCCGCCCCTCCGACTGAACTGCGCAGGTCAACTAGGACTCGCACACGCCCTAGTCACCTGAGAGACTTTGTATGTAAATAACACCCCAAGTGACTTCTGGGAGGGGAGGAGTGTTATGTAAATAGGTTTGTTTGGCGGGAAGTTCGAATTAACTGACCTTCAGCTGATTGGCTGACCACTACAGCTGCAAGGTATATAAAGGGAGCTGGCTCCCTGGGTTAGTTGCTGGATTCTCACTATACAATAAAGAGCTGTTGTCACTCACTACTCTGGCTTGCTGCGTCCTCATTCACCCCACTTAATACACATAATGATGTCATCCTCCTAATGTCTGGTGCAAGTACGTCACGGCATTTGCATGATGATGTTGTCATTTATCTGTCATCACTTCCCCACTTTTGCCTTAGTGCAGACATCGCAAAAATCCTTGGTCTCCTCTTTGGAAACATAAATTATCTGATTTCTTATTTGCCCATCTTTCTGCAATGTGCAAAAGTTATAAATCTAGATAACTTTACAGCACAGATATGAAAACCAGGGAGAAGTCAGCTTTTTAAATAGTTGTATTTATTCTCTCAGATGTGAAGCACAAAACCAAAATTTCTCTTCTTTTCATCCCATTTGTATCTGCATTCACGATGTTTTAAAGAGCAAACAAATAAACACAATGCTGTAATTCGACCAGGATTTTAAAAATACATTCTCAGAATGATATTATTGGTATGGTGGCAAAGCCAGAGGAAAAAAAAAGTTTTTTTGTTTGCCTTTAACAAGTGGCAAACTCCCGGGTTAGCTCACAACAGTTGCAACACAGACAGCTTAGGGATTAGAAGTAGGTATAGAAAATGTCATGCCAGTCAGGTTTTTTGTTGATTTAAGAACGGAGACCGGAATGGCCCTGCGATGCGTAACAGGAATGAAGACTGTTAATTTTTTTCTACTATTTTATTTCCTAAAGGTCACTTAGCAATGCAGTAGGGCAGCTAACACCTCCTTCCTGTCTTCTATTTTTCTACAACTGGAGTAGGGAACCTTTTAATGGCTGAGTAACATGCTTTTTCTTTTTTAGTTTTTGAGAGCTGCAGTACCTTGTACTTCTGAAGAAGGAGGGACCAATTTCATTTCATTCATTCATTCGTTTGTTCATTCATTCTTTCATTTTTGTATTTTGGAGATGGCTAAGGCAAAATAGATATATTCAGCATAGCAAAAGCTGAACAGACTTACTTTAATTTACTTTAAAGAGCCGAGGTGGCGCAGTGGTTAGAGTGCAGTACTGCAGGCTACTTCAGCTGACTGCTAGCTTCAGTTCAGCAGTTCAAATCTCATCAGGCTCAAGGTTGACTCAGTCTTCCATCCTTCCAAAGTGGGTAAAATGAGGAGCCAGATTGTTGGGGGCAATATGCCGACTCTGTAAACCGCTTAGAGAGGGCTGTAAAAGCACTATGAAGTGCTATATAAGTTTTATTGCTATTGCTACTTCCATCTTGTTTTAAAAGACGGAAATGTAAAGCTGTCCAAAATCAATACTTCCTTTATCAATGACAAGCAGGGTAGGCTCTGGAAGGCATCAAAATAGGGGGTTTTGTGTCAAATAAGAGAGCTGGGAAAAGGAATAGCTTTGGCTCTGGTGCAATGGGTGGACTTAATGACTCTTCAGTGCTAAACTGAATAATGTATAATACAGAAGAAACCTGAACTGTACATTACAGCACTATACTGTATCAAGTTTCTCCAATCCATTCACACCCACAGTGCAACTATAAATAAGAGTAGCGTTGACTGAAGGGAGGAGGCAACAACACTTAGTCATATCATCACCATATTAGCCTACTCAGCTACCTTCATAAACAGAACATAACTGTTACCATAGGCAGCATAGCAGGATGGCCAGAATCCACCATTCCTTTCCTTGCACGTGTTTTCACAGCTAACGTGTAAGAGTCTTGGTGGCGCAGCAGACTAAAGTGTTGTTAAGTAGCACTAGCTGCCTGCAATTATTGCAAGTTCAAATCTCACCAGGCTCAAGGTTGACTCAGCCTTCCATCCTTTAAAGGTGGGTAAAATGAGGACCCAGATTGTGGGGGCAATAAGATGACTTTGTATAAAAAAGAACACTGCTTGGGGGGGGGGCGCGAAAGCCCTACTAAGCAGGTATATACAAAGGTATGAAGGCTATTGCTTAACGCATTGTAAGCCGCCGAGTCTCCAGAGAAGGGCGGCATATAAATCAAACCAACCAACCAACCAACCAATAAATAAATAAATAAATAGTCACTGCTGCGCTCCCTCTCCCGATGTTTGTGTGCAATTCTGCTCAACAGAACCCACAACCTGAAGTCTCTAATTTAGAATTTCTCAACCTCAGCAACTTTAAAGCGGTGAGGATTTCATGCTGGCTGGGGAATTCTGGAAGTTGGAAGTCCACACCGCTTAAAGTTGCTGAGGTTGAAAAGCACTTTCTCTCATTTATTGGAAGCGAACGTGCCGTTTTCATTCACCGAAAACGTTCTACGGAAGTTCCCGCTGGAGTCCTTTCTGCTATACTAGTGAGACAATAAGGGATGATGACCATCGGCTTTGGCTCTTGGCCATTAACGCCGAGACGCTCCCCAGGCTCCCGCCTCAATGCTGCACCAGCTTGAATAGCCTCGGAATCCGAAACCAATACAGTCCTGTATTGGGGATTTCGGGGTGAATCTCGAGATTCCGAATTTAAAAACCATGGAATAATCCAAGAGGCAGACCGATGAATGGAAGAATCTCTCCATTTTTGCCCGATCCGGGATCGTTCGGGGATTTATTTATTTATTTTCTTCCGTCACTGCCTGCGCGCGTTTTGGTTCTCTCCCCGCTCTTCCTCATTCGGTTAGCAAGCTCCTCCGCTGGAACCAGTTCAGCAGCTTCTGGTGACGCGCGTCCCATTGCCGGTTACCTGAGCTGGCCACGTGAGCGCCACATCATCGGGGATTTTTGATATTGAAAGTCACCGAAAGAAGGAACCAGGAAAAGAGCCTGGTCCCAGACGGAGGAGAGAGGGATCTCTACTCTGGGGGGGCTGAGACCGCGTGGGCCCCAGCCAGCCGCCAGAGCTTCCCGGGCCACTCTCCGTGGGTTGCCTCCCCCCCCGGCTCCCTCCAGCGCGCCTCGAGGCCCCAGGCTCCTGCGCTGAGCCGCCCGGGTCACTCAGGGACACGGGTCTTCCGCGGGCTCCGGGCAGGGCAGCAGCGGTGGCGGGCTGGCGCTCGGAAGGAGTGCGCGGCGCTGGCGGGGGAAGATGCTGCAGTCTCTAGCGGGCAGCTCGTGCGTGGAGAGGCACCGCTCCGCCTGGTGCTTCGGCTTGCTGGTGCTGGGCTACCTGCTCTACCTGGTTTTCGGCGCCGTGGTCTTCTCGTCGGTCGAGCTGCCCTACGAAGACCTCCTGCGCCAGGAGCTGCGCAAACTGAAGCAGCGCTTCGTGGAGGAGCACGAGTGCCTGTCGGAGCAGCAGCTCGAGAGCTTCTTGGCGCGCGTCCTGCAGGCCAGCAACTACGGCGTCTCGGTGCTGAGCAACGCTTCGGGCAGCTGGAATTGGGACTTCACCTCGGCGCTTTTCTTCGCCAGCACGGTGCTCTCCACCACAGGTAAGCAGGTGGCGGCGGCGGCGGCGCGGGCCTTAGCCCGGGCCTGGCCTGGCCTTTGCATTGGGAACCTCCTTCCTAGGCCAGCCCCGGGCCTGCCAAGCCGCGCGGAAAGCTTGAGTCCGCAACGGTGGGGGAAAGTGGCGGCTTCTCTCCTCCCCTCCCCCCACGAACCCCTTTCCAACGGAGAAAGAGGTGGCTCGGCTAGGACAAATTTAGAAGGCAGAGACCGAGGAATGTTTCTTGTGGGATTCCATTGCGGCTGTTCGGTTTGCCAAGAAAGCGTCTGCCTTCACACGCGACACGCTTAACGCGCTTACTGAAATAATAGGCGTCTGGAGTCGTTCAAGGCATTGAACCATAAAAATAGCAAAACGGGCTGTGCTAACAAAAATGTCCCACGAAGAAACCGTAACCAGGGTTGATGCTTTGTTGTTGCAGGTATGGTGAGGTACAAATGCAGCCACTACATCTTGACTTGGTTGAGGGAGGTCTGTGATTATAGTCAGGGTCTTTCCCTCTTATAAAGGAGAATATTTGTAGCTCTGGGTTGAAATGAGGGGTCCTTGATTCTAGTAAGGAAGGCAGTTTGCTGTCAGTTTACATTCTAGAAACCTGTTAGTTTATATTCTAGATTAGAATACAAACTGACAGCAAACTCCTTACTAGAATTAATGATGTTACCTAGTTTGGGTACGGAAACACTGCAAAAAACAAGCAAGCTCAGGGAGCACCAGGGAGCACCCTCTTTCCCTTTTTCCCCTTTATCGCCTTCAGGCATTTCTACTTTTCCTTCCAATCCTTTGCTCCTTTTACTTTCTTGTGTATAGCGCTAACATTTTCAGAACAGCATAGAGATACTTAATACAGAACTTGGAGGCAAGGTACTCATATCTTTTGTGAAGCGGTAATCCAACTGCAAAGTTTTCTTTTCCCCATCATCATGTCATCCTGGGCTTCCGTCCCTTTCCCCTAGTTAATAGGGCCAGTACCTCTACCCTTCGTAATAAAATGCTGGGACGGGTTCCTGCTTGTAATATAAGAAAGAAGCCAGCCCAAGAAAGAAAGCATCTTAGTTGGGTTCATACATTACATTTCAATGCAGTAAGTACTATGCCTGTCAAAACTGTCCATCTAGTTTTAAAAATGGTAAATGTATACAGGTGCACAGTTTGAGAACATGCCTTTTCACCAATGCTATTACAATGGATTTTTGTTTAACTGTGCGTGTAGGATCATAAACAGTTTTACATATTCCCAGTCAGAACCTGTTTCTATAAATGGATAATATATGTTCACTTTTAGTCTGAAGTCACATGTGGTGCTAAATCATGTAAACTGCTTAGCTTTGACGCTTTCACTTTGTTGTTTGAATCCAAATACTTATATATTTATTATTAGATATACATTTATTATATTTATATTCTACTTTTCATTCAGGAGTTCAAGCAGGGCACACAGCCTTCTTCCTACTTTTCTCCACATTCTTGTGTGGTTAGACTGGGAAAAAGTGACTGGCTGAAGAGATATGAAAAGCTGGGTGTGTCTGCTTCAGCTGAAAAATGTATCATATGTCAACCTAGTTTATGACTTCTGGCCATAATAGTTTTTATCAAGCCAGGCCATTCTGCCTTGTTTAACAGTCTGAGCTTAAAAGAAGCCATAGCTTAATGTTCGTGATATCTTTGTTGTGTTCATGAAAATCTTCTTGTACTGTCAACATTGTAAATTATTACTCTATACATGTACTGCAATAGTTATTTTTTAAAGAATGAAATTCTGATTAGTGAGAATGTCATTTTGTTGCTTTGATAATGAATCATATCTGTAATAGCATGTCTGGTAAATATGATCTTATAGAATGCATCCATTCATCATTAATATTATTATCATTGACCAGTTCAATAGCCATCAGATTTGTCACTCGCTATGGTTTGCCTAGAGAAATGTGGCAAACATTACATGTAGCAAAAGAGAAGCCATTGGGGTATCTCTAGTTAAAATGCCCCTTTAAACCAGCAGAACTTGAAAATGAAGAAGTTGTTCATGTCTTCTCAAATGTAGGAAGCACATCCCACTGGGGTTGAGAAGGTTGAGAGGATGCCACTTTCTTTTTGTGTTTCTCTTTCCTATTTGAATAAAGTGACCTGATAAGGACAAAATGGTATTGTATTTCCTGATATAATGGAAAAAACGATTGCTCACTTATGACTGAGGAAGGGAAAGCACACCCATAACTAATTCATCATTTAGCTTGTGTCTCTGCAGCTAATTTATTGTGTACCAAAATGTATGTTATCTAAAGTTTCTAAACCTTCCAGTTAAGTATGAATCCTTTAATGCATTTTTTCCTGAGTTCTAAATAAAGATCCTTTTATGGATAGGATATGTTGCCCTTAAATTGTTTAGAGGTCTTGCTGACTCAGCAGTTAAAATTGCATAAAGGTGGTATGAGGTACTGTCAATGTGATATTCAGTATCATGTCCCGTATTTTGATCGATTTGGATGACATGAATGATAATGAGACTTTTGTATTAAGCATTGCTTTCAAGGCTAACTTTTAATTCTGAAAATTGCCATGGTATTATGTGTCCTTTTGAAAGGTCATTTTTTTTTGATGGACAGATTCTATGTTTTTATTAGGATTGTGTGTGCTCCAAAAAAGACATAAGATTCAGACTTTGCACAAACAACTAGAATTATTAAAGCAGCAGCATCTTTTCTTCAAGCTTGCTATAAATAGCATATTTCATGAACGATCTAATATGCTTCTTCCCAATCATTTTTTAATTTTAACTATGACGATCACAGCTAATACTCACTGGTGAGGTGATTAAAGCACCAGGCTAGAAACTGGGAGACCATAAGACTTGCCTTGGGCACAAAGCCAGCTGGGTGACCTTGAGCCAGGCACACAGCTCAGGAAGTGAGTGAGACACTACTTCCAAAATCTTGCCAAGATAACTACAAGGATTTGTACAAGCAGTCACTAGCAATCAACTCTAACTCAAAGTCCCCTCAAAAGAGCATTGAACCACCTGGATTTGCCATTGCTGTAGATGATGATGACAATGACAAAATAATTTGTTGAACTGTTCCACAAACTCAAAATTGTGAATCAAGAGCCTAGGCTTCTTGTAGTCCAAAATTATATAAGCTAATCATAGAACATTTGCACATCAGTCTTCAACAGTTTCACATCATTGTGGTGCTGTATAGTCCACCAGCATCAGAGATTTGTGGCCGGATAGAACTATAAATTATTCGCATAGAAAATCTCTGGATCTTATGTGATATGAGTGAACTTTTCTCATGCACCAGAACAGGGATGTCAAACTTGATTTCATTGAGGACCGCATCAGGGTTGTGTTTGACCTTGGGGAGCCGGTGGATGTGGCCAGGGTGGGCATGGCCAGCTTGATGTCCCTTGTGTCGGGGGTACCTGTAGTGGTATGGGTGGGGCTGGGGGATCCACTGTCTCCAGCAGAGAAAGGCGAATCCAGGGAGAGCGCTAAACCCTTGTTCTCCAGAGGAGCCTCGCCGTCCCTCTCAGGCCATGAGGAGGATCCCTGGATGGCAGTACAGGCTGCCCAGAGGCCTAGGCAGCAAAGGGCAAGCACGTTTATTTTGCTAGCACTCTGTCAGTGAAAATGGAGCTCTGGAGGGGCACGAGCTCCATTGTCAGCTGCAACAGCCTCCTGCAGCACTCTGCCAATGAAAATGGCCACCACCAGGTTGTAGATCAGTGCCCGGTTGGCCTGGGCTGGACTGAGGCACCTCAGGCAGTCCTTTGTTGTTTCCAGGGCCAGATGTTGTGGGCCAGATTTAAGCACCCCATGGGCCAGATCCTGCCCCCAGGCCTTGAGTTTGACACCCCTGCAATAGAAGCTTCCTTTCCCCTCCCATCCCAGCTATAACGTTTACAACTGGGTTAGATTTCAGCAAACTAAGTAAAAAAGGAATTCACTGGCTTTTCTTGCAACAAACAAGTGAAGGATGATGGTTATGTTCATTTTGTGTACCTAGGATGCTGTTTTATACATAGTTTTCAGACTATCATTGATTGATAGTCTCACAGCTTTATGTTCTTTTTATCAATGTTTATTTAATACAACAACCAGTTTAGTGTAGTGGCTAAGGCATCAGGCTAGAAACTGAGAAAGGTGATTTCTAATCCCACCTTGGCAAAAATCAGCTAGTTGACCTGTGCCAGTTACTTTCTCTCAGCCCTTGAAAGAAGGCAATGGCAAACCAATACTGAGAAACCTTGACTAAAAAACTGCAGGATCTGTCCAGGCAGTCTCCTAGAACCAGATACAATTGAACAGAAGGGGGAAAAAACAGTAATAAAAATTGCTAAAGTTTAAGTTTAAGTTTATTTAGATTTATATACTGCCCTACTCCCGAAGGACTCAGGGCAGTGAGTCCTTCGGGAGCCAAAGATAAAACAGATACAATATAAAATTTAAAAAACAATTTAAAAACATATTAAATAAATTTGGCCCATACTAATTAAAAGACCCCTGTTTTTAAAAATAAATTAAAATTAAAATTAAACAATTAAAAAGAGTTAGGCTAGCCCCGCTTGTTGGAATAAAAAAGTCTTGAGGGCACGGCAGAAAGTGCGTAAATTTTAAATTACTTTTAAAATAGTAAAAGAAAAAAAAATGAAATTAAGAAACAACCTAGTAGAATTATAATATATGGAACACCTTCATCAGATATTTAAAAAGAGAAATATCACTTGTACAAAACAGGAATGTTAATAATACTGTTTCAAAAGAAGGAGTAGGGTAAATTGTAATCAGCACATTAATTAAATGTGCAGAAAAGGGAGTCTTTGAAATATTTTAACAAGCTTTCTTTTCATGAACATGAGAGAGATGCTTTAAAAAAAGAAAAAGAAACCATGATACAAAAATATCTCAATTGAGAATAATTGACTTTCAAATTTTACTTAGCAAGACGTTTGATGTTCTAAAAGGAACAATCTTAAAAAGAA